TAGTATGTAACTCATTCCAATCTTTTGCCAATCTAAAGATAACAATATTCAAGACAGTATTGTTGTATACGAATAAAGTTCAAATTTTATCTAGGATTTTTCGTTTGGATACTCATTTCATCTGTAAATGCATTAAATCCCAAATTTATCTGTTCAGGTGATTTGATACAATTTTACGAAACACCTGTAATCACTACAACGCCACTGGAAGTCTTGCAAAACATTGAACTACCGCCTAATTTATACGTGCGACAAGACTACCTACGCTTCCATCCTGGTAACGATAGCTTTATTATTATTACTGTTATTATTTTTATTATTTTTTTTTTTTTAACAGTATTTTTCCAATCCGTATATATCACTCGAATGATTTTTACGAGCATCCCTTCATCCCATCTTCCATAACTTCAGTCCCTATACTTTCCCAACTAATCTTTACATTTTTTATTAAATCGTGTCTCTTATTTTGTAGATACGGACAAGATGTTCGATGGCAAAACAGCTTTCCCACAAAGCGCGACTCTGGTTATGGGATTGAAGTACAAAGACAAATACGCGGGACATCGACCAGAAAAGCCTTGGCCTATCAAGCCTAAAAGTATAACCGATTAGTCACATTTACGTATTGTTATTTGTTATTATATACGAGTATGAAAATTAATAAAAGTATCGTGAACTTCAATGAAGTTGTTTTAATTACCACAATGGATCAAATGAACATCAAACGTCACGTTAGATGGGTTTTAGAAAGTAATTCCATAGAAATTTTATTCTTAAGGCGAGCTAAAAAATCGGAGTCTTTACCTTGAATTACAGAAAGTTGGTCGACAGAGCAGGATAATTGTGGATCTTCCACAGGTGGTAAAGATGTGTACTTATACTTATTAGAAGATGATCTTCAGTTTGAGGTCTACATAAGCACTCCAACAGATTTACAATACAACAATCTATGTTGTAATACATGTTAATAAAATCGAAGTAATGGGCTTTGAAAAAAAATAAATAAATAAAAAAACGTAAAATCAAAAGTTTTGTTGATTTGCTCAGGTAAATGATTTCAAGCATTCATAAAAATTAACATTATTGAAATAAACGCGAATTAATGATAGCAAATAAAAAATATGTTGATCCTGCCCTACTTTCAAAGTGTTTGGAAGAAGATACTACAAAATAACTTGCAGATTAGGATAAAATTAATCATATAAAGAAGAGAGGAAGGAACTAAGTAGCTGGAAAATGTACGAAACTATTTGAAAATACCAATTCAATTCCGTGTCAAATGTGCTTTATAGATTTATTTATTTTTTAATTATTTTTATACTGTAAATGTGTAAAAAGAGAGAGAAAAAGGTGTTTCGTCCCGAGAGCACGCCAGGACTCATCAGTAAGGCTGATGACGTGCTCCCTGTCTTAGACACAGAAGAGGTGTGGGCTTGGACTGACTCGATCGCGCTTATATGTATAGTAATCGTGCAGGTATTTCGCGATTATCGTTAAGAAGTTCTATCAACTGCTTTACAGTCGATGCAGAAATGGTCATGAATGTCGAGATACATACAATGATGGGGGCAATAGGTACCACTGCTTTGTATGAACAGTTTAGAGGGAGATGAACCGATAGTTTTGAATATTAACGCTATAGCAAGCGGTTATCTATAACGATTATCCTAGGATATGCTACAGAACAATTATTGATCAACACCGGAGTAAAAACATCAATGCGGGATGCCGGAATTGTAGCTAACGTTAGGAGGTTGCCTTAATGCTCTGCAGGAGATGTTTGATGATGCATTGTTGGCCATCATTTCAGGAGGGCTCAAGATTACCTCAGGAATGGACTGAACAGACTCAACGCGGACAAAAAATTTTGTGGCTTATTTATCATGCTGTTTCTTACGAAGAGACTGAATGAGGTTTCCGTATAACTGACACTGGGGGTCCCACAGTAGATGGAGAGCACTTTCTGCCATCATGAGTGATAATAATAATGTACTCTGCTAGTATCAATCCTTACAAATATCAGAACTGCAATCTAACAAACGCATTCCACGCATCCTCTTTCTGTTATACGCAACACGTGGTGGGCGGAGATTGGACACATGGGTATGATCGACGAGCATGTGGTGCAGAACAATCCAGAAGTGTTTGCTATGCCAGAGGTGAGTGTGAGCCTGAATCTTCAATTCTCTGGCATGGAGGATGATGAATGCAGTGAGGCCAGATCTTACTCTGTAAGAGACCTTGTTAACAGGAAGTGATGAGTGACATAACTCCGATTGATATATACTTCGTCAATAGTCTAGAGAGTAGAGATCCAGGAGCAACAATTATTTTACCACAGTGCCAACCGAGCCGTGATCAGAAATATAGGATTCGTATGACCACATCTTATAATAAGATGATGAGAATGATGGGTAATTTCCGTCTCGAGAGGACGCCAGGACACATCTGAAATGCTGACGACGTGCTTCCTGCCTTAGTCACAGAAGATGTGTGGGCATCGATTCGATCGCGCTTATATAGTAATCGTGCAGGTATTTCGCCGCTTGACGGGAGAGAGTTATTAGGGGCTTGGCCACCTAGCGAGTAGAGCCTGAAGCGCGAGAGATGTGAGACGCCACACAGATAGACAAAATTTAAAAGTATTCGAAAATATCGAATGGTTGTGCATAAAATGTCTAAAAAAACGTATAGTAATAATTTTTATTCCTAATTCTTTTATTCAATATGCAAAAGTGAAAATAATTTCAATTACTTATTTGATACTCCAAGATTTGTAATTTCAGTCGGGAAGTAAAAAAATGTTTTGCTTACCAAGCTAAGTATAGTTACTTAAGTATAACATAGTAAAAAAGTATTATTTGATGAAAAATAAAGAGAAGTTAACGGTGTGTCATCAATTTTCGTATGAGGGCAAAAAAATCAGCGTAACAATATATTTTGACACATATACAAGTGTCGGAAACTGTTTGTAATATGTTCTCTGCTCTGCTTGTGTCAAAGTCTGAAAGTTGTCTGCTGTGGTTTCTGCTCCAAACAACAACAATAACAATTATCATCTGATGGGCGTGTATGTATATTACATATATACGCGATTGGTTTGGGATCAGCTCAGAATTAATATAAGAAATGCATCGACAATAATTGCATACATGTACATATGTACTTATAAAATATGTAGCGTTTTGTTGTTTTATATAATTGATATTCGGGCATCTGCTCTTTTGATATTGACATTTTGTATACATGTTTTTGTAACGAAAATCATGCAAACAGTTGTACAGTGCACAAGATAAATCAGACAAGTATATGTACTCACTAACTCACTAGCTGCATTGTAAAGTGTCTACAGATCCAAGGTCAGTAGATGATGAACAAGAATATGAACTCACCAACGAAACTTACGGAGTTCGCTCCATTGAGTCCCGAAGAGGGTCCGCCCGTTGTTGCCTCGATATTTTCCAAGATCTTCAGCTTCGCCAAGAGTGAGGATCTCTTTTTTTCTCTTTTACTTTAAGCGACTGCATATCAGTTTCTCGGTAGTCTAATAAAATGCATTTCATAACAAACTATCAAACATATGTGTGAAATTTTTTTCCATAAGGTTCACCTCCGAGCAACAGTCAGCCAACCTCCCCGAGCAAAGAGGAACCAAGTCCAGTACCAAGTGCTGACACTTGGAAGCAGCCCGAGAGCAATAAAAAATCTCCTATGGATGATAATACCAGTATGATGAGTTATTCTCTCGATGCAAGTGAAGGCCGTAGTCTGCCCAATGTATTAAAGCGTATTAGTAATATTGTAGCTTCAAAAAGTAATGTGAGTATGTATGGTACAGCTCAAAATCATTGAGTGGTATCAAATTAACCGGAATACTATATCTATCTTGTAGAACCTTCAATCTTACAAAGATTCGCAATTGAGGAGTTACTGGATGCCTGACAGTGTAAGCAAGCAGTGCTACGAGTGCGGAGAAAGATTCACGACGTTCAGGAGACGTCACCACTGTAGAGTGTGTGGCCAAATTTTTTGTTCAAAATGTTGTTCCGATGAGATTCCAGGAAAGATTATGGGCTGCACTGGTACATTTGTTCATTCAGTTGTTAAATATTAATTTGAAAATTGAATTTCTCCCAACAATGTTTTAATACAACAGCGTTACCTACTGATTATTAGGTGACTTGAGAGTTTGCACTTACTGCTGCAAAGTCGTTCTATCTTATCTACAATCATCGGACATGAGAAGTGACCTCTCTGCAGACTTGAAAGCTCTGCAAGAAGACCTCGAAGAAAAATACGGCAGCAATTCACCACCGATATCGAGAAAAAACACCAACGAAATAGCTGAGAGCGAAAATAGTGTGCACCGAAAACCAAGTGTCGGTTACATGGAAGAAAAGTACGCGTTCAGACGACCGACGCAGAATTACCTGACAGCTCAAGAGCGCACTTTAGCGTTGCAAAACTCGGCCTCCCTGAGGATGATTTACGAGGAATTGTTCAGATCGAATCAGGCGATTATCTTGCAGACCCATAGAATAAGGTTGAATCGGTATTACAATTGTTTTTTGGGTAACGAGCTTGTCAATTGGATGATTACTCATAACAAGGCTGCTACAAGGTAACGAATATTGTTAAAGTTTAATTCGAAAGACGCGTGAATCGCTGCAACATCTATATTTTTTTTTTCTCTAGAGTTCAAGCAACTGCCATCGGACAAGCTTTGTTTCAAGCCAGCTTCATCGAGCCAGTGTTGCTAGACAATTCTTTCAGTGATTCATCCGCGCTGTTCAAACCAGCAAAACTGTCTAGAGTACAGAACAAAGATTTCCTAGTTGAAAATCAAGCTTCTTGCGACGCTCAAGAGCCCGCATGGGTTAAAACCATTCCTCAGCATGACTCGACCACAGGTAAGCTAAGACAACGCTTGAATCGTCTTATTGTATGCAAATCACAAATATTGTTTGCCCATTAGATTCTGAAAGTGAGAGCAAACAATCGCCCCAATCATCCGGCCGAGTACCATCCTCCAGTTCGAGTTACTATCTAGATTTGAACTTGGAGGCTTCCACTGTCACTTTGAAAAAACCCACATCCGAGGATTTAACATCTTCCGTTGGTGAGGTTTGTAATACGACGGTCGAGCACAAAGAAGTGAATTTTCAATCCCAGGAAAATAATTGCAACGTACCGGATGATCTCCTCAACGACAAGCTATTGGTTCAGGATGTTAAGGAGAAGGAAGGATGGCACCGAGTCTCAAATTTGAAAAACGCTTTTGGGGAGTCAACTGTTTACGACACGTTAACGTAATTATACAAATTTATCCTTTGACGGTAAGACGAAACACATTATATTCGAAAAAATGGATTCTCTACGTTTATTTTAATATCACAGATCTGCATACAAGCAGCACAAAGACTCGCTTCTCAAGCAACTACTCAATAAAGAAGGCTTATCTCAAAATTGGTCGAAAGTCGTGCTCCAAGTGGCTCATCAAATAGTGGACCACGTAAGGCCTGATCTTCATCACGATACCGACGACATGGACATCAGGCAGTACGTTCAGATCAAAAAGTCACCTGGTGGCAGTAAAAACGACTGCGAAATTGTATCTGGTGTTGTGTGCAGTAAAAACGTAGCTCACAAAGGAATGAACGCGATGATAGCGAATCCAAAAATTTTGTTGCTCCGGTGTGGCCTGATGTACCAGAGGGTCGAGAGGAAGTTACTTAGTTTGGAGCCTGTGATGCTACAGGTAATAATATCCAAGTATCATTTTTTTTTGTTTGTACAACCTATACATCACAGATCAACTGATATCGTTCACAGGAAAGTGAGTATTTAGGCCACGCAGTAGCGAGGATCAACGCACTGGGTCCCGACATAGTTCTGGTGCATCGATCAGTCTCCAGATTAGCCCAAGACAAACTCAGAGAGTGTGGCATTACCTTGGTGCTGAACGTCAAGCTGAGCATCCTCGAGAGACTGGCAAGATGTACCGGCGCGAGCATTGTCGACACTATCGATGCTCACATAAACGCCAGGTATCGACTCGGAGTGTGCAAAAAGTTTTACCTAAGGAATTTCCCCAGCGAAAAAAGTAAGTTTTCGTTGATCTCGCTCGTCGTGCTCGTAAATTGTTTTCATAAATATTTATTTTTCCCGTTTCAGCTGGGATAAAAACGCTAATGTACTTCGAAGGCTGTGCAAATCCACATCTCGGCGCTACCATCTTGCTACGCGGTGCTTCTCAAAACGAGCTCCGTAAAGTCAAGAATGTGGCGTCGGTGATGATTTTCGCGGCGTACTCCTGTCGCCTGGAGAAATCGTTCCTGATGGACGAGTTTGCAAAGCCACCCTCGTCAATGGATAACTCTTTTCAAGAGGAGACTTCGCGCAATGGGTCGCCCAGTAAAACCAAAGAATTAACCATCAATGGCCAAAGTACTTGAATATTTCCTTTTCCCGCAAATTTTCAACTCACGAATGATTTAACAAATTTACTGTTTAGGAATCGAAGAGGAGAAGGAGAGTATTTCTGACCAGTTGAAGAAACAGTCGGATGATGACGAAGTCATTAGCTCGAACGACAGTCGAATTTTTGAAAGCCAAGAGCCTAAGCTTAATTACAGTACACCAAGAGGTAGCGTCGATAAGGAAAAAAGCACCGAAATTCCAGGCGAAGATGACGATTTCGATCAGGTCTCTACCTTGCTTATGAACACCGCGAGTTCTTACGACACTTTGAAACTATTTAAAAGCAAGTCCAAGTCTTCTCTGGAGGAATCGAAAGGCGTTGATAAAGTAAGCTCGTGTCGTTGATCAAGTCTTGAAAGAAAAATTGAAAAAAAAAAAAAAAAAAAATTCACAGGTAACTCTTTCTACGAACGCTGAAGCAAGCGAAGTCGCTGAAGAGCACGACACCTCATTCGACCTGTTCAGAAACTCGGCGTCAGATCCAAGTAGCGAAGATCGCGCCGAGAAATTAAAGTCTACCAGCAGTTTCAGCAAAGAAATACCGGAGCAAGAAAAACGCTCTGTTCACGGCGAATCGGTGAGCGACAAGAGCGACCCGTTACACCAGTACCTAAACGAGGACGAGGACGAAGTGTTCGACGAACTAAGTCCGAGCGGGCAATGTCTGAGTGTTGCCGATCTTCCCTTATTGAACAAATTCAAAAAAGCCCTTGAAGGCACGATACTGAGCGTCTCGCCGTACTTGAAATTCTCGATTCCCTACCTGGAAACTGAACCCGGCAGAAACTGCGTACTGAGAAGCTTCTTTCCCAAAGAGCTGTATTACTCCGCATTGATGTCCACCACGTTGGAAGGTACGGACAAGTGTGTCGCTTTCACTCTCTTGATTTCTAAGAATCTCTTTTTTTTCCCTTTAGGAACGAAATCGAGCAACAGCAATGCCACGGGAGAATTGTCGCAGTACGAAAACTCGCAGAAAAAGATCAAATTCAAACCAGCTCACGAATTCATCGAGGCAAAATTGACGAGCAGTGCGGACAGTCGCGAAGTACAATCGTTGGTTGCTCTCTATCGCGCTGACGGTTGTCGCCTCGATCACGAGATCAAAGCACCAGCGTCGAGCGATAAACGCCAGTTCTCTGACCAAAGTGAATCAGTGGAGCAGCCCCAGCAGTGGCCTGATTGCCTCGATCCGGCCAACCACCAGAGATTGTCGGTGCTGTTTTGCAGTTTTTTGTGCAGCACCACAACGTAATGTCTCATAGTTTTTAAAATATTTGGCTCGAACCGTGGGTACAACAGTTTAATATATTTATCATCCAAACAGTAACAGCGCACCAGCCTTCTGCGTGAACCCATGGGTAGTGAACATGGACTTGTACGGTCGCAACGATATAGCACTCGGTCGTTTCCTGGAGCGCTACTGTCTGACCACGGAGTACAAGTGCCCGGCTCAAGATTGCAAGGCCCTGGTTGACCAGCACGTACGTCGCTTCGTTCACGACGGTGGTTGCGTACACATCAGCCTCTGCCAAATGAGCGACAACCCGTTCGCCAACCCCGGTTTGTACTTAATCAAAGTTTAATCCAGATTTCCGGAAAAACCGGAGTAAGTAGTACCATTTTTTTTATTACCTTATCAACAGGTCAGGAAAACTCACAGCAGATATTCATGTGGAGCAAGTGCAGAAAGTGCAAAAGCGTCTCGCCCGTCGTTCCGATCTCCGACGATACCTGGTCCTTGTCCTTTGCCAAGTATCTCGAGCTTCGTTTTCACGGTGGGGTGTACACCCGTCGCGGCACCGACACCTGCCAGCATTCCCTTCACTACGATCAGCACCAGTACTTTTGCAAACGCAACATGCTCGCTGTCATGAGCTACAGCAGGATATCGCAGTGGGAGATATCACTGCCTCCGCCGCTCATTGAGATCATCTACGACTCGAGGTTTTACGCCAACGTCGTGGACGACATCAAGAGTCTGGCTCTGAAAGGAGACGAGGTGTTTTCGAGTGTTAAGGAGAAGCTCAGCTGCCTGCAAGTGGACGAGGGCTTGACGAGCGCCATGAAGGTTCAGCTTGTCAAGGACCAGCAGTACTTCAAGACCAAAATGGAGGAACTGCAGCTCAAGTTGACCTCGCCTACTTTGGAGAATAAGAGAGCGCAGGGTACAAAACGCTTTTTCCGTTTTATTATTACCATGGAGCAGAATCGAAACGAGAATCTATCGTCTTTCAGGGAAACACTCGGAGAAACACGTGCAAACTTTGATGTACCGAATCGAGGATAACATCGTTATTATACAGCGTTTGATATCCGAGACAGTGTTCAATTGGAATGCAAAACTGGCGGAAGCGATGGCCAAGAAGAAGGATGAAAAGCAGAGCCGCAACAAATTGATCGACCGATCTATTCTCACAACAGTAGCGACAACAACGACGAGCTCCGTGACAACAACTACGACAACAATAGTCGGTATTCCCTTAGAGGCCGACGATTACATCACCGAAGACACAGCCTCGGAGTCACAGCTCGAGGACCTGAGCCCGGTATCAGCAGATTACAATGCCGTTGAAGCGATTGCGGCTCTGCAGGCTGCCGAGAGCCAGGCAGAATTTGTCGAAAACTCAGACACGGAACAACCAGAGCCTTTGCAAGCCAATCTCGAGGATACAGCGATCGTTCAAGGTATATGTTTTACTTGTACTAGGATAAACGTTTGGGCTATAAAGCTCTTTGTTTGTTTCAAGGTTCACCAAAGGCTCATCAAAGAACGTTCTCCGACGCTACAATTTCATCGACGGCATTAACAACGGAGGATGCACCTGACAAGAAAAAAAAGAAGAAAACGATTCTGTCGCAGTTGCTGACCTCCACTGTCTCCAACAACGTCATTGAAGATCCATTCGATTCCTCGGAACATCACTTGTTGCCACTTGGGTAAGCAAAAGCCATAACTTTTATTTATTTCAATTTTCAATCACTTCTCATTGTGGGTTTGCAGGTCGGTAGTACCCATAGTCGTTTATGAAAGGGAGCCATCGTCGATAATAGCTTACGCCCTCGATTCGCACGATTACAAGCATGCACTACAAGAGCAGTTGCGTACGATGAAGGGCCCAGAGATGAATCCAAGTCCACTCAACAGACGCAAGTTGCAGGATACGAAGGAGAACAACACCGAGGCTAATCAACCTGTTGAACTCAAGAGGCCGTCGGTGTTGTCGTTCTTGCGCGGCAACAGTCCGAATCCAAACACCCTGGTTGGTTGCGTGGTTTGAAAAAAAAAAAACTAGACGCAAATTTTTTTCTTCTCACTTTGAATGTTTTTTTTTTATTTTTGTTTATTTTTTTTAATTTTTTTTTTTTATTTAGTCCAGCCCGGTGGAGCCTGAAAAATCTATTCCTCCAGCGGAAGGATCCATTACCGTAGCATCTGGTAGTTTGGAGACGGAAGACGAAAAGAAAGCCTCGAAGCAGCAGCAGCAGCAAAATTACATCGAAGTGCAGTTCACGGACTCGACCAGCAATTTTTACTGCAGGATATACTTCGCGGCGCAGTTTGCTGCCCTGAGAGAATGCGTTTTACCTTGCGGCGAGGATGGCTACACCAGAAGTCTCAGCCGGAGTATATTGTGGGCGGCTCGTGGTGGCAAGAGCGGTAGTGCGTTTAGTAAAACGCAAGGTATTTTCGACTGGATTTCGGGATATTTTGAAATAAAAACAATACGAATAAAACTTATTTAATTATCGTTTCTCAGACGACAGATTTGTCCTGAAAGAGATGACGCGCGTCGATCTGCAAATTTTCCTCGATTTCGCGCCCAACTATTTCGCTTACATGGAGAAGTGTCAGCAAACCAAGCAGCCAACGCTTTTGGGAAAAATAGTCGGGATTTATCGGGTGTCGTTTAAAAATAATGCGACTGGCAACGCACTGCGAACGAGCGTGCTTGTGATGGAAAATTTGTTCTACAACCGAACCATCACCGGTAAATTCGATCTGAAAGGCTCGGTTAGAAACAGACACGTCAACCCGGACGAAATCGATCACGAGGGCGAGCTTGTTTTGCTGGACGAAAATTTACTGAATAGTAAGTAGACGTGGAGGAAAACTAAACTCTGTCATTATGTTGACTGTTTAATAAGAAATAATGATTCCACTAGTTTTTTGCTGGGAGTAAGTGCTTTGTTTGTTTTCAGTGAGTTGTGACTCTCCGTTGTACGTGAGGCCACACGCCAAAGCCGTTCTGACGAAGGCTATTGAAGAAGACACTAAATTTTTGGCTGACAACTGCGTAATGGACTATTCACTGCTCGTAGGCCTTGAGCCGAATTCGGACGAACTTGTATTAGGCATAATTGGTAAACAAATGTTACTCTTGTTATTTCTTTTTTTTTATTACTTGAAGATTTATTCCGTGAAAAACTTTGCTACAGATTATCTGCGAACCTTCACGTGGGACAAGAGACTTGAAACGTTTGTGAAAAAATCCGGAATTCTCGGTGGTCAGGGAAAATTACCAACCATCGTATCGCCTGTAGAGTATCGCGTTCGTTTCATTGCAGCGATGCACAAGTACTTCCTACCGGTACCGGACAGATGGACGGGTCTCAATCGTGGCGTCATCGCAACTTCGTAGGACGGATCAAAGTCAGTACTATCCATTCATGACAAATTTTGAAAACGAGCCAGACAATTATTTTGAAAATTTGTTCTGTTAGTGAAATTTTTGTTGTTGATTCAATTGACTTGTATGGCTAGTATTGACTTGAACACTCAAAAGCTTCCTATTTTAAGCTGCAGGTCTGTGATTATTAAATTATTTTTTTGTTATCGTTATGTCTGTTACCATTTTTGTTAATAAAATAAACAAGATGATCTTCGTAGACGAATAATATGAAAAGATAACTATAAAGCAATTTTTATGATCAAATAAGTTAGTCAATTTTTAATATCATATTTTATAAACCGTATTACTAACTTACAATTTTTTACTTGTTTAACTATCATATTGTGTCGCATTGGCATATGGATTTATGATAATAAAAGTAATAACCAACACTTGAACTGGAGGCCATTAAAATACACACTTTCTCCACTACTATATTTTTAGATCATAAATAATGAAAAATCCAAAGTATAGTGCGAAAATTGTATTTATACAATTTAATAAATGTGACGTTTCCTTAAAATAATAAAACTTGGGGATGATAAACTTTTGTGCCCAAAAATAAATGTTATTATATAATACCGATATATTACCGATTATTGGAACAACGGTTGGGGTGGGAGTAAGGCAAAACATAAGTTAGACTCGTGTTGAGGCTTAGAAAAACCGCCACCTTATGTAAATTTACATGAGTTATTAGTGCTGTTGGCATAATTCGGATCCCAACATGGACAGTGAAAGTAATGAAAATAATAAAGTGGAAATCCACTTTTGAAGTAATTCAAATTAAACAAAATCTGCTGTCAAAACCATTGTGTCTTGTAGTTAGAAAGTATTAGGGTCTAAAAAAATGAAGCATTGTAGTCTTAAAGACTCAACTTTAATAAGTTAAATATACGTTACAATATACGTTTATTTTTGCACTTAAAATGTACAGAAAAAGTACATAGGTTTAAGTGCCTTTTTTTTGTATACTGTTCCTTCTGAATACTCCATATAAATTTAATTCTGACTTTGTATTTAGTTTAGTCTAAATGACGCAAATAACAGAAATATTTTCAGCAGAGCAAAAGTATCGATTGTTTACTCCATAAAAAATGTATTTACGAACTTTTTGCATGGGGATGGTAAAAAATTTTTTACCAACCTACATTTTAAGATATCTTTGTAAAATATAATTTTTCAATACATTTGAATTTAAACGATGGTAATGTATCATAATACAATTATAATATAATTCTATAAAACAATAAACAAAGTATTACAACAATGTAATTCCAAATTTTTTCAAGTGTCAATGTCGTCTATTGTATTAAAATAATGCTTTTATTACTTTTTTACATAAAAATGTATAATTCATCATTTGTACTTGTTACAACAGTATAGGTCTGTTGTAAATGTAATAATATTCAATGACATCAATGAGTACCAAAGAAATAAAAGACCAACTATGTGATAAGTAGTTATTATTTTATTATTATTATATATATATTTTTATCATAAAATACCTACAAAATTATAGTACAAATACATTTATGGCGAATAAATTTGTCATGTTTTTGTTTTTTAATGGCTCATGTTAGATGATTTGATAATAATAACAAAATTATCATAAACTTTGATATTAACATATTAGAACGAGATTTTTAAAACTTTATATATGTAAACAATTATTAAGAATTTTAGATTAAATTTTAATATTCTTAATAATTTTTAAGTATGTGTGGAAGAACTAAGTTTTATTTTTACATCGCGATAATAATTTTACGCGTATCGATATACTTAACTCTCAGTCGGCAGTATCATATATTTTTTAACTTTAAATTACATTAATTTTTCACTGATTATGAGTATTTCAGGATGTATTCATAAAATTATATGTTGGCAAATAATTTATATCTTTTTTTTTATTAAAGGTTTTTTCTGTTCTAAACTGTAAAAATTTAATAAATCAACATCCTCATAAACATCACTTATTATATATAAGTAACAAAATTTTGAAACATGATTATTATAATAATTTATAAATTTGCTAAACCTCAAGTTACACGTAGAGCTTGATAATGATGAAAATAAAATTCTCTAACATAATGACGTAATTGCTAGCAATTATATGTGAATTAACTGTTAGCTAAAAACAGTTTCTTTATAAAATCGTCCCGCTGCATGTTTATCTACTTATTTCTTATGTAATGTCCATCATCTAAAATTTAATTTTTGTCCTTTTGCCGAAAGTTAACAATTTTTTTTTCTACATCTTCATTAAAAACGTATTATGACTAATGCGAGTAGCATCATCGTAAAATGTTGTGGCAGTACTGAGTATTTTAAAATAGTATTGATTATTATACATCTTATACACCCAACGCCGATCATATTTTTCCGAACGTAATATACTCTCTCCACAAATCCACGGAGTTCACTGAAATCAACTAATTAAAAACACAATAGACGTTGGGAGTAACATCTACTTACTGTCTGTTTATTTTTTTCTTTGAATAAAAATTTTTCAAAATCACCTTTATCCAAATGAATCGAAAAACTAATATTCATCAATCATTACATAATCTACATAATTATACACTACACTCTTTTTCTGGGCAGTTAGTTCGAAAAGCTTTCCCAAAAATTTTTATGAAATTTCAGTACAGGTATACCTACATACTTCCAGACAGTTATATTCATCCATCTACCCTGGATTCCATATTTTTGTTGTTGAAAAGTTCACCCTTTCATAATACATACCTACCAGTATAACATCTTCAGTATTATATTTCTCGAGTTGAAAGCTAATTTTCTCCCGAGCCAACATATTCTCGCCAACAACCATCAAACGACAAAACAATGACTAACCAACTCCACCAAGGCCGTGTACCCCAAAAAGCCTTCAAATGGTACTGGTGCTGCTGTCGTACCACGGCGGCATCCAATTGGACGGAGATCTGTTTCGCGTCATACCGGATAAGGGCGCGCCAACGTTAGTATTATTATTAATGTTGATGTTGTTGGCAGTCCCGTTGCTCGGCCTAGGGGCGTCGTAGCTTCGATCGATCGTTCGATGCCGCACCGGCCCGTCGTCTAGATCCTCCAGGACGACGAAGGCCTGCTGGGCTCGAGAAGACACCGATGGCTCTTTAGCAAAACTCGGCGAGTAGGCTCGTTCGGTTGACTGTGAGGGGGGAAAAAAAATGGCAAAAAATTTGGTGTTTTTTAAATCCTTGGATAATTTTTTGGTCCTGCCGGGCTCTTTTTGATTCGTTTCGAATTTTTTTTTTTTCTTTTTGAGTCCACGTGAGCGACGAATGCATGTGGATTCGAGTTTTTAATTGAAGTTGGAAAAAGGAGCCAAATAGGTCGACTTGATTCGCGAATAACTACTTTTTTATGGAAAAACCCCGTGAGGTTTCGATGAAGCATCTTTTTCAAACGTTTGAAGTAGGTGTAGGCGAACTTTTTTAAATATTTAACTTTGACGTCGGAAAACATAATAACAACAATGAGAAATGAAAATATTATAGGTTCTTGTACAGTGACAGTTATAAGTACTGTCATACAAGGTCATCTACTATTATTGTTATTTCATATGTTTTAGTGCATTTGGGTTCACAAAAATGTTGAAACAACAGACCCCAATGATGGGTACATCTGTGGTACTCTTTGGTTGCCTGGTACCTAAGTAACATTGAAGGAAACCAAGAAAATCTTTACACGTATCATCAAACGAAACAACAAGATAATCCACAGTTAACAAAGTATTCTCGAAAAATGATTGTTCATGATGATGACACACCTATGGTCAAAATTTTTGAAAAAAAAAAAAAAAACAAAAAAAACGTACGAAACCGTGAAGTCTTTGTATTCTCAATGAAACCAACTGGCGTAAATGAGTCTCACCTTTTGGACGATGGGCGAAGGACTGCGGTTGTTGGACGGGTGCACGAGGAGGCTCGGCGAGAGCCTACGACTGCGGCGCCGAGGGAAATTCCGGGCAAGCATCGGCTCTTCGTCTTCGTCGGTTCGGATCGACGGCGGTTGTTGCAATCGAGAATACATGGGGCTGGGCGAACGATTGCGTACGCGAGGCCGCTCGGAGTCTAGGGAGCCTCGTGCCAGCGACGATCGGGAGTTCCTAAGCATCACATGTAGTGTTATATTATTTGAGGCCATTCGGAGTACGTGAAAAGAGTAAAAAAGAAACGCTTACGAAATCGAATAGAAAATATTAAAAGAGTTTAAGTAAATAAATAAGTAGGCCATAAGAACATTGAGCTAAGGGTTTTGTTACTATTATTTAGTATGTGGTGTATATTTATACAGAAGAAAGTATATTAGACACGCAGTTTTTCTTTTTTTCACATAAACAAAAAATCTGATGGAGCACTTTAAATTTACGTATAATGTCATACACCTGTAGTGATGGATTTTATACAGGTATGACGTCCACTCCTGATGGACTTTCATGTATTCTATCTCCGGAAATTTTGGTTTATGTAAAAATAAGATGAGTCCAATATTTTTTTATCATCTGTTTCACGATCCGAATGCAATTTTTTACGCAAGAGTCCTATCAATAAATGCACATAGTTTTATGCATCACGTACATTTGCTAAGAAAAATATATTGTTAGCGATTTATATGCGCAGGTACGATAAAAAATTATGAAATTAATATTTTTTACATTGATTCCGAGTTGGAATGTGCAATGAAAAAAATTGCAAAAATGTTTCCGCCCGGGATCGAACCGGGGACCTTCCGCGTGTTAGGCGGATGTGATAACCACTACACCACGGAAACACGTGCCAGCGTAAAGCTCTATGTGGCATAAGAGGGTTACAATTAGATGTGCCTTTCGCCACACAAAATTGGAGTTTTTAAAAATTAGTTTTACCGAAATAGTGAATTTAATTTCAATCACGATAATTTTTATTTTTTTATTTTTTATATTTTGCAGCCATTTCTGAGAACTGTGCCCAATAAGGCTCTGCAATCTGCAAATCACGATAATTGTAGTGTACTTAGTGAATCGTTTAATCGAAATAGCACGAACTAACAAGTATACCCCATTGATTAATAAAATTCAAATGACAAACAAATTTGATAAAAAAAAATAAGTACCATACACAATACTTTACTTAACCACATTTTACGGAGTTATTTTTATCTTATCTCGTGTTTCTATATCGTTTAGTCTAACCCCGTGATACTTGAAGAAATGAAATTTTAAATAACCCTGTGTATAAAATATTATAATGTTGATGGAAAAAGAAGAAATGGTTAAAAGATGTAACATGTTATTCCCTAAAACACAAAGTAATTAAAAAAGTAAAAACTTTAGCAATAAATGTTTATGAATTGAATGAAATAAAAAATGAAGTTTTTTATTTTACAAATAAAGCAATTAAAAAATCAACAAGTTCATACTCGGAAATTAAAAAATTTAGAAAACATTGATATTCAATACCAGGATATTTTGATATAATATTAATACATGGTAAAACAATTACACGAACTACCATTGCCAAGTATCTATAGAAGTTACGATAGATCATAACTTTAAATGGGATGAGCATGTAAATTCCATGGTAAAAAGAACCAAGTGTTTGATGTGTAAATTTTTTAATACATCTTTTGCACCAAGTACGAGACAATTTTGTCAAATTTACCATGCACTTTTTAAAAAGTGTAGCCTCTTGTGGAATAATAGCATGAAAAAGTGCCTACGCGGCATTAGAATCTTCAAAAAATAGAATTTTCAATATCATTTATAAAATGCACAGATCCGTGAGCTTCAAGCATTAAGGTATTTTCACAAAGAGTTATGTGATGGCTATATACAAAAATAGCCAAAGTAAAACCAGAAGTGAATCTAGCTTCATTTCATTGACTAAGTTGAATATTAAGAAAACGTCCTGCTAAATTAAAAACACCCAACATTTAGAGTGACACAAGAGGTAAAAAAAAAAAAAAAAAAAAATTGTCCGATCGTATAAAACTAAATGGGTAAAATGCATACTTCTTTTTTATTCTTTTCACATAAATTCCCATTATTTTTTATTGTTATTATTTTTTTAACTGCATGTATTTTTTTTTTTTTTTTACTCAAACCACCACCGCGTACAGGTATGCATGTATATACCTTGTTGCGGTATACGTTGCTAAATTATAATAAAAAATGTAAAATGCAATAAATTGAGCCATTTCTTATGATTCATTTTCTTATGATGGTATATGCGTGAGTCGTAGTGGTGGCGAGGGAAACAAATAAATAAAAAAAAAATTACCTTCTGTTGGACGGAGGTGGCTTGCCAACGACGCTCTCCTCGTGCAGTCTAGTGTGCAAGACTTGGAACGCGTCCTGCTGATCACCAGCGTTAACGGAACCAAAGCGATCCCCGTTGTCGTTGTCGATCCAATAATTGTTGTTGTTGTTACCATTGCTATTGTTATTATTGTTGATGATTTTGGTACTTCCATTGGTGGTACGACGACTGGCGCTCAGACTCCGATCGCTACGACGTCGAGACGGTGCTGGTGCCACTTGGATGGGATTGCTGCTGCGGTGGTCGCGAAAAGCCGTCCGATACTCGGGTTCCATGTCAAGGTTACCTTCGAGTCTTCGGGTCAAATTCAAAGGGATATCTTTTGAGAGAAGGGGAGCGTCTCGTTTTCGGTTATCACAGGGAGGGTGGAACCTTGCGAGTTTTTTCTTTTTTTCAAATTAATGTTACAAAGTAGCAACAAACATCCAAAATGTTACGGTATTCGAAGGATTTAGAATTACCACGAAAAAACAATTTTTTTTTTTTTAATTCAAGAAAAATTTTTCCAGACAAAGAAGAGTGAATTTTTCATTACGAGTAAACCTTTATTAATGAGAAAAAATATTATAGTTTGAACTATCGTAGAAATATTTAATTGGATTTACACTAAATTTTAGTTAGCCGATTTCAGTACTTAAAAAGACTCGCAAAGTTCTGAGTTGACAAAAATATTGTGTCTCGTATACATAAATCCTTTCTTTTTTTTTTTTTTTTTTTTTTTATTTTTTTTTTTT